TTACTCAATATTTCATCTTTAACTATCAATGTGGGCCCATTGATGCAAATAAAATATATCTATAATCAACAATTGTATGGTACGTTTATTTGATATATTATATTATATTATAGATCTATTTTTGGGTGTGCATGTTTAATTTATGAAGTTGTCAGGGTTATGGATACCACATATCTAATAGTAGTTCACTAAATCTTGGCAGGACCCACCACATACCATGTTCTATACGGAAACAACCTTCGGATATAGGAGGAGTTCCGCGTAAGGAAGGATGAATAGAGTTCTACATGGAAACGACAAGGACTACTCGGATTATATCCATATTGGTTTTCCTAGTTCTACTTGGACAAGGGGACATCTATGGGTATAAATACAAGGCCCCCTAGAAGGAGAGAGGAGGTGGAACAATAGATCAAGACACAAGATCAACATACAAGCCAACATACGCCAAGACAAGCCGCCGGATATTGACATTAGAGATATGCCTGGGCCAACCCTATCCGGTACTTACAGAGGCCAGCTGTAGGGAACTAGCGTTGTCTCTGATCTCGCCGGGCACGAACTCGAGGAGGAAGACTACCCTGTTGTCGACTGGGCGGTCTGAAGTTCTGACTCGTAGTCGCCAACAGGGTAGCCTTCCTCTTCGAATCCGCATCCGGCGAGATCAAAGACAGCCGAGAAAAAAAGAAAAAAAAGAAGTCCGAGTCCCATTAAAAAAAACATCCGACTCCGTTGGATATTCCGTTAAAAAAAGGAAAGAGATTTCTGTATGGAAAAAAATCAAGCGCGGAAAAAAGTATGAAAATTTTGTTCTGACTGATAAAAAAGGTGCGACAAAAGGGTTTCCGTATTCCGTTAAAAAAGAAAAAAAATAGTGCAAAAAAAATTTTCTGTCCGATTAAAAAAATCCCGCCTTCCGTCCAAAAAAACAAGCGTGAACATTTTTTCTGTCATATTCCAAAAAAAAAGTTGTGAAAAAAGGTTTTCCGTTTCTCTTTCTCTATCTCTATCTCTACTTAATTTTTTAAAGATGTTTGCGTCGTCCGTCCGTGAAAAGAAGCATGAAAAAGAATTCTGGTGAAAAAAATCGAATCCGATTATATGTGACACGGTAAAAAAAAATTAAAGATATTTCCGACGTCCGTAGTAACGAAAAAAGGGTGAAAAAAACATGAAAAAAAGAAAGTCCAATTCAATCTATCTATATATACCTAATTAAAAAAAATTGTATGTCTTCCGGGTTATAGTTTTCGTCCGTCAAAAAAAAATCATCACACGTGCGATCGATCCCGCTTCAATCCCTCTCCGATGGCAAAAAATAAAAAAGAAAAAACAATAATGAGAGACTGCATCAAATTTGGACCTAAATCCTAGAGAAAATACTACTACAAGAATACAAGATCAGATTCAAGAACACTAAGAAAATGCCGACGCCGGAAGGGGAGGGTGTCGCCGTCGCTGCCAAACCGCCACCGCCGTCGCAGGGATGTCGGTATGCCGGGCTGCCGCCACGTTGTTTTGAGAGAGAGGGGGATGGGAAATGATTTTTTGGTTAGGGTTTGGACTGTCGAACTTTTATATAGGTCAGGATAAATCAGGACCGTCTATCAGATCGGACAGCTCCGGCTTCTCCTGCGTCAGGCCGAACACCATTCGCAGGCCGCCCACACGAAATAAGTTCACTTTAGGTCGCTTAAGTTGTTTTTCCCAATTCTATTCCCAAGCCGCCCACACTATTGGGCCGCCTCATGGACCGCGTGTACACTCCGTATGGAATAAGTTCACTTTAGGTCCCTTCAGCTGAACTTTTTTTATTTTATTATGAATATATTTTCTTAAAGAGCTCATATCATGTAAATCTTAATCATATAATATTTTTATATTTTTTATAACTTTAATTTACCCGTTGTAATGCACGGGCATTTTTTTCTATGTTAAAAAAAGGACCACGATGTACGAGTGAGAGATATATACCGCACGCACCCGCAGGCTCATGATTAAACGGGCTGGCAACATATTTTTAATTACATGTGTAATTGTTTTATTAGGTGATTAAATTTGTTTTCATTTACATAATTAGTTTGCTCTATTTAAGCTTTTTGAAAATTGCTAAAATTTGAGAATAACTTTTCCTACTTCATATTATATTATTTTTAGCTAATGGAATTAACGGAAAATTAATTATATATTTTTATCTTTTTGACCAAAGGTCACTGCAATTTCCTTTCATTAATATTATTATTATGATTATGATTTCTTTATCTTTTTCCCACCAGTATGCGTGATTAAAATTACATTCACCCGTTACAACGCACGGGCATCATTGCTAGTATTACAGAATTATTAGACATCAAGTTCAACAGCAGAGGACTATATAGTGCACATATACACTGCATTCTAGCTGGTGCAAGACAGATCATATAGGAATAATAAGTTATAAAGTTATATATATATATGGTGCACTGCGGTTCTAGGCCTTATCTTTTATAGAATGGCACAATGGTATAGACTGTCTGCATGATAGTAGCAGCTAGAATGATGAATGCCGTGACGACGGAGATGAACACCCATGGGCTGCTGCAGTAGGTATAAAGCTAGCCCGCCACATATTCCAGTTTCTTGCGGTGCGCCTTCACCTCTCGTAACACGTCTATGATACTACTGTCTCCTACATCACTAGTCCCTTGCTTAGTGTGGCGTTTATTAGGCGCCAGGGGCGAAGGTACAGTCAATTACCGGGGTCAGTAGACCCCGATGATTTTATTTTAACCTCTCATATCCTCTTTATTTTACCAGCTATGACCCCGGTGAAAACAAATATTAGACCCCGGTGACATTAATTGTTGATTGTTGTGTTAAATTCCAATTGACAACTACAAACGATACTGGCAGCAGCAAATAGAAAATTACCTAGCATTTATGATTATACGTCAGCCGAATATGCATATACTTTGAGTTTTTGAGATTTGAGACCATGCATAAGGCCAGTGGCTCATAACTTTTCAAATTCCCTAGCAAAATAATTTCTATAGGAAATTATTTTAAAAACCATATTAATCTATTGTCTTTCAAGTTTTTTATAAGCTAATAATGCTTAATTAATCATGTGGTAACCTCGCCCTATTTTGCGTGCTGGGAGGGAAGGGTTCAGATCCCATAGCTAGGTCTGAACACACCCAGATTGTATCAGGGTTCACCAATTCGATTTAAAATTAGATTCCAAATATAGCAATATGGCTTTTTTTTACCAAAATTTGATATTTTTTTATTAATTTGGTTTAATTTTACAATTTCAAATTTGAATTCTTGAAAAACTATTCCAAATTTCACTCAAAATCTACTTTTGTCCCAAGTTGGAACATCGAAATTGCGTTGTTTTCAATCCGTTTTGTTTGAAAACATAGACCATGGCTAGTAATGACCCCGACGATCATTTATCCTGGCTTCGCCCCTGTTAGGCGCGCCACTTCATCATTATTGCCCTTACCGCAGCTTGTGCCACGTCCTTTGCGGTGTCAATGAGGTTGTCCATGTAGTACACAAACGCCATCACGTCGTTTCCAGCACCTGGGTTGCAGCCGCTCGAACACCATCAGGTTGAGCAACATGCTGTCGGTGTTGTCGAACAAGTAGATCTTGGGGATGATGATCAGTACGCCTCTTCTGAAACTGACCGTCCCTCCTCCTAAGGCCGTCTCCAATGGGCAGCTCTTAGCTAGCTCATAGAGTTTTTTAATCGATGAACAGGACGCGCTAGCTCTTCTTCAAGCGCTAGCTCTCACCCTCACTGAGGCGGTGCCCTCTCACAGGCACACTCGCCTAGGCAGTGGCCGCACTGTGCCGAGCGCGTATGAGCTAGCAGCCGGCTCATACCGCTGGATAAGGCCTAACCCTGCAACTTCGCTCACCTTGAAATCAATTCCTGCTTCGTGAAGTTCCACTGCAGAAGGCATATCGGAGTCGTCATATTCTGTGACAGCTGGCCCTTGGCGGTACTGACGGATACCACCGATGCCTTTCTGAAGAATATCCAGGGGATGGAGAGCCAGTTGGTGATCACTGATAGGTGTGGATTAGTGAAACTGATAGACGTTCCATAGAAACCGGATGACACGGACGCACGCACGAGTTGCTTTGTGCGTGAGTATAGTACTATATATATGTTTTTTTCACAGATTTTAATAAAGAAATATTTATCCTCATTTTTGTGACTTAGAAATCAACACATTAATTGAAAGAAAAATAGTGAATCTAGAAAACGTTTTGGTCCATGTTTAGATATAAGGATGTAGATTTGTCAAATATAAGCTCTATCTTTATAATTAGTTAATCCAAATCATGATCTCATACCGGCCAGGAAACCGAACTGTTCTCTTCCTGCCAACACACATGGTATATAGCTGGGGTGTGCAAACATGAATACAACATAAACAAAAGATCATTTTAGCAATTATTTAATTGAAAAAAGGAATCAAAATCCTCTCCTTCAGGTTGGGCCAAATATGAAAAAGTTCAGATTTCCTCCCTTCTGTCTCTTCTCTGTTTATAGCTTGTTTCCTTTCAAAGTCCAGTTTGTGTCCTTTCAATCGACCCTAAGAAAAGAAGTCCTAGCAGAAGTCTAATTTATCTCCCTGTTGCTACAGTAGCTTCTTCAAGCTCCAGCCGAGCCAGAACTCATACTCTATCTTTCCCCTCAAGAAACTGAAGGAAATCCCGTGGAAATCGCTCATGTATCGAGCTCAAGCTCGTGTTTATTTCTCTGGCAAACACTCGAGTTTATTTCTCTGGCAAACACTTTTTATCTCTCCGACAAAGTGGAGTCGGATTCAACCAAATTAGCGTGTTGACGGACAAAAACACAGGCAAAAGGTGACGAACTGAAAGTTACCAATTTTTAATTAGTTAAGATAAGATAAGATAAGATAAAATATACGCACCAACGTCACATTTTGTCTTGTTTCTTTTTTAAAAAAAGAAAAATGGATGGGACGTTCGTTTCCTCCGATTTTTCTCTTCGGCCTGACCGCCTGAGGTAACACCGCAACCGTAAACACGGACCATTACTTCGTCGGAGAAAAGAAAAAAGAGAGAAAAATTCCACCGATTCGGAGGAAGTCGAAGCGGAGGGGCAATGTCGGCGGCGGCGGGGAGGAATGCTCTCCTGGACGAGCTGCGCGCGCTCATGGCGGCCCACTCCCCGCCGCTCCACGCGCTCGTCGTCCCATCCGACGACGCCCACCAGGTCTGCTCTTGGCGCCGCCTCGTCCGCGGAATGGGGGGAGGCGATTGATCGGTCGGGTCGGGATTAGATCCGATCCGACCGAGCTCCATTTTTTTTGTTGGATTTTGCGTTTTCAGCTATCTCTCCTCCTGTTGGTTTTGTTGGTTCGTGCTGGTGATTGAGGATTGGCGCGATTTGTGGGTGCAGAGCGAGTATGTGGCGGAGCGGGACAAGCGGCTGCAGTTCATCTCCGGGTTCACCGGGATCGCCCGCAGCGCTGGTATGTTGCTTCCTCAACCTCAATCCATCCGTCCCTTATGACTTGTGAGCTCATTCTGTGCTAGTTCACCAGCCGATGAGTTGGGCTGCGATGAGTTCAGGATAACTTGCCTTGGATCTGTACTGGGTTTGCACGATTTGGTTAGGTTACTGTTTCGGCAACCGCATTACATTCTGTAATAGTGTGATAGAAGTGGCAGAAGTGGATTGTTGAAATGGTTAAGTATTTAGATCTTCTGCGTGGCATGGCATGACCGCAACGATTGGCTATTTTTCTCATAGGTTTGCTTAACACTTAGCGTGGTTTGTTACTTTTGTTGTGACGTGCTAGGCAGCCCAGAAAAGAAAATGCAAACATGGGCCACACATCAAGCGTCTTTGTAATGTCAAGTGCCACTCCATCCAAACTTGTGCAATCAATGGGTGCTTTAATCAAGTATAATCATGTGATGGTAAATTTTTTATAGTTTTGTTCACTACTTCACTGCCTATAGACATAAGGCACAAAAGTTTCGTGTGGCTCTTTATGCCATTGCCCATTGGGGAGACAACTTTTACAATTTGGGGTGGTACCTCAAAGTAGTTTTGTACTGGGAAGAACTTAACTCATTTCTGTTTTCTACTAGGATGGATGTAACATAATGAACTACTTGTCGATTTCTTTTGTTTTCTGGTTATCATAGATGCAGTACTTTCTCAGTTCATGTGTATATTGGGTTCTATACAGGTTTGGCTCTTATCACTATGAAGGAGGCGCTACTGTGGACGGATGGGCGTTACTTTTTGCAGGCAGAGAAGCAGCTCAGTGATCACTGGGAATTGATGTGCATGGGAGAAGATCCACCAGTTGAAGTTTGGATTGCTGATGTAAGTCTTGAACATCTGTTCTTGAGCATGTTCACGAAATTAATTAATTTTCTCAGTCTAACATAAAAAATGTAGGTTCACACAACTTGTACGTGGAAGTTAATATAATTTAGTTATATCCTTCCTATCTCTTTTTTTTTCAACAGCCAGGTCAAAGTTTTCATCCTTGGTTTTTGAAATCTGCCACAGTTTTTGTGTTGTAAAATCCCAAAAATGGTTTTATTCTTGTTAACTTTAGCAAGTTTCTCTCCTAAATGCGGTCTTTATAGCTTTGTTTTTAGATAACCATATTCAGTTGTGTTGGTAATACCTCAAGCCTACTATCTTTCTACCTGGCTGCTCTGGTAGATTCAAGTAATCACATGATAGCCGGTTTGATACATGGGACTTCCTTTCAAAATTTGTCAGAAATATCAGAGTTTTGGACACATTAAATTATTGTGATCTTAGCAAATGTGAACAGAATTGAAAGACAAAATTGGTGAGATGTTTGTTTTGTTATATGGAGAAAATGTTTATTTTATTATATGGAGAAAACCTATGCACAATTATGCCAGTTATGGAATGATAAATACATTAATAATATATCTTTCTTCCTGGCTGCCAGAGTAGATTCAAGTAACCAGTGATAGTTGGTTTGGTATACGGGAATTCTGTCCAAAACTGCCAGAATTATCAGAATTTTGGACAATAATTTATTTTGATCTTATGAAATGCAATCAGAAATTTAAAGACCTGCACGAGGTTTCTGTTTTGCTATGGAAAAAACTATGAACAATCATACCAATTATTCTATGACTAGAGAGAATGAGTTTAGTTATTTTTTTTTGCATTGTAACACTACTCATGATGACCATGTTATTTTGTTCTGAAATAGTATTGTTTCTGACTAATTTGTTTGTTATTGTGCAATCAGAACCTATCAGATGAAGCCGTCATTGGAATTAATCCATGGTGCATCTCTGTTGACACTGCCCAAAGATATGAGCATGCATTTTCAAAGAAGCACCAGACACTGTTTCAACTTTCTTCTGACTTGGTAGATGAAGTATGGAAGGATCGTCCTCTGGCTAATACTCAGCCTGTAGTGCACCCTGTCGAGTTTGCTGGGTGTAGTGTTACTGGAAAACTTAAGGAGTTAAGAAAAAAATTACTACATGAAAAGGCTAGGGGCATTATAATTGCTGCCCTTGATGAGGTGCTATTAAACTTATTTGTTTCTTGGTTTCTTATTCAGTACAATATATCCAATTGTGTATGTTTTGATTTCTTGAAATTTTGTTAACTTTGCCAGTTTTAATTATTCTCCTTTTGTTATTCTTATTTAGGTTGCTTGGTTGTACAATATTAGAGGAAATGATGTGCACTACAGCCCAGTGGTCCATTCGTATTCTATTGTAACCCTGCACAGTGCTTTCTTTTATGTGGATAACAGAAAAGTATCTGTTGAGGTCAGTTAATCCACTGAACATATTTTCTTCAATTATACCATTATGTCTTTCATAGAATCGTAGTCATGATTTTGAAGGGCATGTAGTGAACTGTGACTCTTATTTAGTCAAGGTCCAGAGCTACATGTCTGAGAATGGTATTGATATCAGAGACTATAATATGGTTCAATCAGATGTAAGCTTGCTTGCATCTGGACAGCTAAAAGGCTCTGCAGTTAATGGTAGCTCACATGAGGGAAATGGTATGAATGATAATTCAAAAATTTTGATTGATAATTCGTGCTGCCTTGCACTCTACTCAAAACTGGATGAAGATCAAGTTCTTATACTGCAATCACCTGTTGCTCTTTCAAAGGCTGTGAAGGTAAATTTTGCTTCCGTTGTCCCTCTTTTATGCTAGTATTTAACAGATCATGTCGGCAGCTTTTCCAATATACTATTCGTGGATGAAAACTGATGTATTTACTTGATTATGGGAAAAAAATATTACACGTTATAAACCTAACAAATAGCTTAGAATAAGTTGTCTAAGTAATACAGTAGAAGATTTTTTTTTTGAGAATTGTATTTTTAGAAGCATGGAGCAAATAATCTGTGACAATAATCCGATTAATAAGCAGAAAAGAACGGGATCTAAAACCATGTGTTTTAATTTATACTTACTCTAGTATTGTTAAGAGGGTATATGCGTTTCAAGCATCTTGGAACTTGCTAGTAAAACAACAACCTGATAATTGAAGTTTGTAGCCTGAGTTGTATATATGAGCTCAATCAATTACCAAGAGCTTTTGCCTCCTGGTTAGGTTGAAATTAGGGGAGTTGGAGATAGAAATGAAGGACAAGAATCATTGACAATTTAACGTCAAGCCACATAGTTTTGTGCTATCTAGCTCCACCAGCCTTAGCTAGAATTTGCTCGCAAAATAGTTTTGTGAGAGACTGTCACCCCTCAGCTTGGCTACCGTAGTAGGACCTATGCTGTGCTGTTCTGGGAATGACAAAATACTCTTGGTCAGCCAAAATTTGTATTACAAATCAAGATATAACCATATATATGTTGGGGTTATGGTGGGGTACTTTTTTGGGTTTTGTAGGGCATAGGAGGGCATAGGAGGAGGTAATGGTGGGGTGGCGGGAGCGGACGGACAACTCCCCTTTTAGAATAGTAGAGAGAAGAATGGGAATATAACACTTTACACTAGAAGTGTATTCTGTTCAAGTATTCCTTTTGTTTCCTGCTATTATTTTTAGTTCTTTTTATCTATGGAAAATCAGCTATATGCCATTACAAGTTTTTATCATTTATTAATCTGTATGCCTGTATTTTTGATTTCTAATGATGATGTAAAATCCGATAGAGCTGGATGGTTTGAAAATCAGCTATATGCCATCGAAAGTTTTATCATTATTAATCTATGCCTGTATTTTAATTTCTTGTAATGATGGTATAGAATCCCGTAGAGCTGGATGGTTTGAGGAAGGCACATATTCGAGATGGTGTGGCTGTTGTGCAATACCTGGCTTGGCTTGACAATCAGGTTGGTGTAAATGTATTTCTTGTGTAGCCTGTTAGCCTTGGACTTTTCTTATGCTCATATTTGAGGATATGACAATTTGATTTGTACCTGCAATGTTCTTTAATGCTGCTGCAATCTTTCTAGTTATTTTCTACTTGCTCTCATGCTCGTTGTCCTATTGACAGATGCAAGAGAACTATGGAGCGTCTGGTTACTTTAGTGGGGCCAAGGGATCACAGAAAAAGGAGCATGTGTGAGTAGTAGTGTTGTATTTATGTTCTTTCGGTATCATATGGAACATATGATCTTTTGTTTACCTATAAAAAATTTGGAATAATGCATTATCAAAAGATGGCCAACATCTCTTTTTAGATTAGGTTTGGGCTGTCAGAACTGTCTAAATCATTTATAGGATAAACAGCGGTTTCTTGCCCTCATGACATCGTTGTCTTGAGTTTTTTTTTTAAGAGGCTGGGATAAAATTTTCTTGAACTTCATGTGCAATACTTGCAACTTGACTTGGTTGCGAGCTTGAGACAGTTCTTTCAATAATCATCCATTTGAGTTTTTCTTTGGAGGAGGTTGGGATAAAATTCTTGAACTTCATGTGCAATACTGCAACCCCACTTGATTACGAACTTGAGACAGTTTTTTAAATACATTGTTACCAAATTCTTCAATAAGACTGATACGATTGATTGGTCTGTGTGTTTCTCTTATTACTTTTTTTACCCCCCTGTTCCTCGGATACAATCGATCCTTCTACGGCCAAATCTCAATTTGTGGGAAGCCTTCGATGGCTTCCTTATGAAAACATCCATTTGTATATGGGTATTAGGTATAGATGTTTTCCTTTTGGATCATATTTAAAATGTAGTTCCTTCATTTTTACACGGCTGCATCTCAGCACTGCATGCTTAAGCTAAACACTTTCAGCAAAAGCCATGTTCTGCATTCAAATTATAGACCAAGGTTTACATGTTCATTTTTTGTTTTTACCTATCTTCTGGAATTATCATGTATCCAATTTTCTCATTTATGCTGCTCATCTATTTCCCATGTGGATGTGTACATCATCTACTTGCATTCTCTGCCCTTTTGTGTATTTTCCAATGGTTAATGTTGTTGTAGCAAATGTACTCTGTCAAACTTGTGAGCACTTTTACATTTGGCAAATTCCTTGAAATTTCAATGCTCCATGATTATTTTTGTTCTTAGCCTATTCTTTTTGTTATATATTACCTTCATCCTGAAATATAAGAAGTTTTTGGGGTTGCACATAGGTATTAAGAAAGTAGGTGAAAATAAATTGAGAAAGGTTGATTGGTTTAGAAGAGGAAATAGGTGGAGAAATTAAAATGTGGAAAATTGTGATTGGTTAATAAGAGAATGTAGGTGGAGAAGTTGTTATCTTTTGTGATAAGAGGGAATATAAAGAAGAGTAAATTGCATCAGTGATACACGAACTTGTCAGGTTGGTGCAATTTAGTGCATGAACTTATAAAACGCTCGTTTTGGTGCATTAACTTGTCTGGTGTGTGCGAACCAATGCCAAATGCCATGAGCAGGCCAATTTTTCTAAGTTGAACATCATAAATTTGTACGATAAGTGTGTGCATGTATGGTAGAAATTCTATATTTGTAAACTTGGTTTCTACTTTTTCTTTCTTTCTTGTTTCTACCCTTTGCATTATTACTCGGTTTTTTATTTCATTCTTTATGCAATTATATGCTTTAGTGTATGTTTTGCTGAACAGATCTTTGTCTAGCTACGTGATATCCTTCTGAGATACATATTTACATAGCGTTCAAATCAACAACAAAATCAGCAAGATAAACCCTGCCATGCGATTTTGGCCTTGGTCCACACACACTAAACAAGTTTGTGCACCAAAACAAACGTTTACAAGTTCATGCACTATTTCACCTACCTTACAAGTTCATGTACCACTGATGCAATTTACTCTATAAAGAATCATACCATTTTAATCATATATTGTTTAATACATGCATAATGGCAATCAATTGTTATTTGCTTTATTATATATGAACAGTAGTGTGCATTTGTGTTAATAATATTTTTGTTTCACTCCTGTAGGGAAGTAAAACTTACTGAGGTTTCTGTGAGTGATAAACTTGAAGGTTTCCGTGCCGCTAAAGAGGTATGCTGCTAAAACATCACTCTTCTTTCAAGCTTAAGTGTACTACATTACTATGGATCTTTTATAGCTCCTGTAAACAGCTGTAGTTACTGTCATTAGCCTCGATTTTTGAAATTAAAAAATCAGCAAGTACACTTTGGTTTTGTGAAAACTGTTAAAATATAAAACAAGTTCCTGATAGTTACTCCCTCCGTTTCATATATATGTCTAGATTCATTAACATCAATATGAATGTGAAAAATGCTAAAATGATTTACATTGTGAAACGGAGGAAATAGTTACCTGTGACTTAGTTTTAGCAAGCCCTAATATCCATTGCAAGTTTGGAACTAATATTATAGCCAAGGCCAATGTGGTTTCACTTGTATCCGTTAAGAACTATCTGTACATTGAAAAATGTATTATTAACTATTTTATTTTTCTTGTGCAATCACTGAGAGCAATGCACACTGTTCTTTGGAGTATATCAGTTATCATGATTATCGACCTTATAGCTGGGGAGTAGTTTTCGAGCCCCCCATCGCATTTGTAAACCCTGGTTGTTACTTTGACGTAAACACACAGTAAGTGGAGATAGAGGGAACCGTCAGAGGCCCTCAATCTCCTTAGTGGAGAGCTCAGAGTGAACGTAGAATCTTTTGCATAAAACAGAGCAAAACTAAGGACAATTTTACACTGCTGATTGTATGTTCAATCTGAGCTCTTCATTAAGGACATTGAGGGTCTCCAATAGTTCCCTCTTTCTCTGCTTACTGTGTGTTTGCATCAAAGTAACAACAATAAGACGTGTTTTAGTGGAACATTTTTTCTTTGGTTGTTAGATGAATATAGAAACTACTACAAAGCATTGCTTGAGGTCATTTTGCAGTTCATAACTATAGTCTCCTGTTATGCCACAACTTTGGAATAACCAGTAACATATTTCTGCAGTACTTTAAAGGTCCGAGTTTTCCTATGATTTCAGCCGTGGGACCAAATGCAACAATACTTCACTATTCACCTGAAGCAAGTTCATGTGCTGAACTTGATACTGATAAAATATATCTGTTTGACACTGGGGCTCAGGTTGAATACATTTCAGTCCAAACTCAAATTTTATGTTAGATGACCTGCTATAATCTTACTCTTTCTATGGTAGTATGCTTGCAGTATCTTGATGGTACTACAGACATCACAAGAACTGTACATTTTGGCAAACCATCTGAGCATGAAAAGTCATGCTACACAGCTGTAAGTTCTGTTTCACCACTTGCTAAAATTTTCTTTTATTTAGAACTAATCGTATGTCACATACTAAGTTCTATTTGGAATTAAGGACCATACTTGTGGTGTCATCCTAGAAGTTACTGAATAAGTCATTTGTTCAAGCATCATTTTGATTCTTGTTTTTCTTTCACATGTTTTGCTTTGCTTGAATATGCATTATTTTCTGCGTGTTTCTAAGCTCTAGGATGTTGCACCTTGCTAGCATCTAGTATATGAGTGTCCAATAATCAATTGACTTGAAATGTAACCTTACCCACGTAAGTGCACCTTGCTAGCATCTATCTAGTATACGAGTGACCAATAATCAATTGACTTGAATGGAACATTACCCGTATAACCTTTCTCCATTAATAGTTTGACCAATGGAACATGTATTTTACTAAACACACTAAACTTGACCAGCATACAAGAAATAGATACTTAACTGCTAGCTCCCCTGTATTTATTTAACAATTCTAGTATTATTTCCCATGAATTTAGGACTTAGTAACTGACATGCAACGTGTTGAAAGTCATGTTGAAATGCTATTGATTCCCTCATTTCCGGAATTGCATTACTTGTCCCTACTTAGTGGATCTGAAAATTCTGTTCTTGAATAATCTGTAAAAATGGCAGGTTGAGTTTTTTTTACTGGCTTGTTACTTGATTTCCTTTGTAGAAATAAGCACAATTAAATGCTTGATTCTATAATAGTTTGTATCTAAACATTGTCCTTGTAGTTTTGACTTTTGACTCTTCTTTTTCTACTATTTATTCAATTTCTAATGCAAGTGATATCGAACATTGGAAATAGGTGTTGAAAGGCCACATTGCACTAGACACTGCTGTATTTCCTAATGGAACCACAGGTGAGTATTTTGAACTTTCATAATTCATACTTCCATACATATGAACTCTAGAGTTTGACATTGATCATGTCGTACCCTAATGATAAAATGGTCTCCAGGTGTACCACGGGGTTTCTAACATCACCTGATAGTGTATGAGTTGATACAATCATCTGTTCTTCATTTGAGTGCATAAGCTTAAAAACATGTGACATCATGTTTTCTCAAAGTCTCATTGCCTCGAAGGTCATTTTCAACGTTTCTTTAACCTTTGAAAACTATAAGAAGATTGCACTAGTCACTAATGTCATTTAGTGATATACAATTTCGCTAAAATTCCCTAGCAATAAATTTGGGAAGGAAAAATGGATGACAGAAAGTTGTATCTGATGACTTTTATACTACCATGTTCTGAAACCAATGAATGTTCACTGTGTTTATACTTAGTTTTGGCAAATTATATTTCAAAAGAAGCCATGAAATTCTATTATAAATTGTGATGTAATGCTTTACTTAAACCTCAACAGGGCATGCTCTTGATATTCTCGCACGGACACCACTTTGGAAAAGTGGTCTTGATTATCGGCACGGCACAGGCCATGGGGTTGGATCTTATTTGACTGTTCATGAAGGTCAGATACTGGTTCATTCTCTTCGATGGCAGTAAATAATCGGATTATATGGGTACTTTAAATGTTTAATTTATACTGTTTGTGCTTTTAATCCAGGTCCTCATCAAATTAGCTTCAGACCTTCTGCTAGAAATGTACCACTACAAGCATCGATGACTGTAACAGATGGTCAGTGCATATCCTAACTGGATCACTATTTATTTCAATAGGACTGTCCAACAGTTTAATATGAAACTACTTTGTAGTCGACCATTCAATGCTAATTATCTTGGTGCAATGATCAGTGTAAAAAGTTCAACTTGCATAATATTTGCAGAACCTGGTTACTATCAAGATGGAAGCTTTGGTATAAGGTTGGAGAATGTTCTGATAGTTCAAGATGCCAATACTAAATTTAATTTTGGAGATAAGGGTTATTTGGCATTTGAACATATAACATGGGTAAGCATTGATTGTTCAATCTCTAAATTATTAACTCTCACTTTGGTAACTGTTCTTCTCTTTGTTTCATTCATTTTGGACTATATCTTGTAACCAGAAGTTGATGCGTTTATAGAGGTGTTTCAAGTCTCTGTGTTTTGTAAAATACTACTCCCTCCGTATTTTAATGTATGACGCCGTTGACTTTTTAACAAACATTTGACCTTTCGTTTTATTCAAAAAATTTATGTAATTATTATTTATTTTATTGTGATTTGATTTATCACCAAATGTTCTTTAAGTATGACATAAGCATTTTTGTATTTGCATAAAAAAATTGAATAAGACGAATGGTCAAACGTTGGTTAAAAAGTCAACTGCGTCATACATTAAAATACAAAGGGAGTATCTTCAATTCACAAGAGATATCCATTGATACTAATATGTTGTACTATCGTTAGCTCGTTGCTTTTTTTATACTTATATGACCATTTTTATGTCAACCTTGTTGCCAGTTTTTTTTTTTTTTGAATATTTGCATTATGTAAACTAGGATATGATGCATGAGGATCATTATATCAACTAATTCTTGGCTGAGTTCTTTCTCTCAAGTTGGAGAGATCTCCAGCAGACGCGAAACGAGAAAGCTCATTAGCACGTAATTAATTAAGTATTATTAATTATAAACTTGAAAAATAGATTTATTTGAATTTTTCAAACAACATCTGTATAAATATTTTTTGAAAAACACATCATTCAACAGTTTGAAAAGCGTGCTAACGAAAAACAAAAAGTTAAAGTTTGAAGTTGAAGAAAAGAACTAGGCCTTGGAGCGAGTCCTGGCGAGGAATCTCCATCATATTTTTTATTGCTTTCTAAATAATCTTTACTTTTCATAACAGAAGCAGCTTCTCCTTAAATCTCCTTAAAGTGGTGCTCATGTTATTGTTCTACTCGTCGTGCAGAATATACTCAGTTCTATTGGCATATCACAATCTCCACATACGAACTGCTGCTCACCAGTTCAATATACTACAGTTCATTAACATGTAATGCTTGTCATGCATCATTTGTTTGCCCATGTATTGATGGATTTCTTGCGTTATTATGCAGGCTCCGTACCAGACAAAGCTGATTGACGCCACTTTGCTGGCCCCTGCCGAGATTGAATGGGTAAACACGTATCACTCAGATTGCCGAAGGATTTTGCAGCCTTACCTGAATGAGCAGGAGAAGGAATGGCTGAGGAAAGCTACTGAGCCTATTACTGTGAGCTGTTAAGCCATCGACTACATGAGCACATGGCACAGGGTCTCAACCAGTTGCAGCCATTCGTGCTAGATGTGCAGAAGTGCAGATGGTTTCTGACATGCCATGCTTTGCCTTGGGTTGAATGCGAAGATATGGAAGTAGAAATAGGACTAGAGGACTGGCCGCTTACCTAGTCCCTACCATGAATATGGGCTGTGTTTGAATCCAAACTTCAGTCCTTTTCCATCACATCAACTTGTCATACACATACAACTTCTCAGTCACATCATCTTCAATTCCAACTAAAATTCAAACTTTACGCTGAACTAAACACTAGTTGTGTTTGTACGGTTCTCCAGACGTTGCTTGAATGCCTTGTGGGCATTTGTATCGTGATGTATCGAGCGGCGAGTAATTGCAGTGTAATAATAAGCGGCCATGTCTGGTGATAAGCTGTTGTTTAAAATTGTATCTCACATCAACCCTGCCTCACGGCTTTGAAACTGAGCGACGCCGGTAACAAAAGGGGAAAGTCTATTATACACCTTGTGTGTTTGTCTAAATTGTATCCCTACTTGAGTAGGCGTCTTGCTGCAGAGGTCTCGCAGCGCCCACGAGCTCCCTACCATGGAGAACAGATCGGGAAGAGAAGAGGGAGGGAGAGAAGGGGAGTGATGGCATGTGGGTCTCACTCACATATTTGCTTCTTTTTTTCTAACCGATCACCCACTAACATGTGGTCCTGTTGATGTTTTTATTTTTTATTTTTCTTTCAAGTAAAATGTATAGTGGAGTACTCCCTCCGTTCCCAAAAAAAAAAAAAAGAGGCAAACTCTGGATTCCCGTGTCCAACGTTTGACTGTCTGTCTTATATAAATTTTTTTTATAATTAGTATTTTCATTGTTGTTAGATGATAAACATGATTAATACTTTATGCGTGACTTGTCTTTTTAATTTTTTTCATAATTTTAAATAAGACGGACGGTCAAACGTTGGACACGGAAACCCAGGGTTTGTCTTTTTTTGGGACAAAGGAAGTATGTCACTATTTTCAAAAATACAATCTAGATCGCTAATTTGAGTTAAGTGCATATCCAACGATTTCGCTTCCGTTGTAGTTTATATTTGGAGCTTGGGGCTGGTGAGGAGGACGGGCTTGATGAGGAAGCAGAGGTTGTGGAAGATGATGAAGAAGAAGCGGTGCTTGGTGGCGAAGACGCCGTGAATGGCGGCGCGGGCTGCGTGGATCCAACGGCGGATCTTGGCCACCAGGGCTTTCCACTCAAGGCACACTCCTCGCCGACGACCCGGATGATAATCAGCATGAGCTCCCGATGGTTGCGGGCAATGGTGGCGCGAGGCAATGTAAGTCGTCAATGGTGCGGTCGCTTGCAGCATCGGCTCGTCTGTCGCCATGGAAATAGAGGCGGGAGGTGGAGTTCTAGCGCATGAAGAACCGCTCGGTTGCCTCCAGCTCCGCTTGTCACCGGGCATTGGGGCCTGGCTAGCTGCGGGGTTGACTCCTTGTCGTCTCGACCCCCACACGAGCTTGCGCTTTGTACAGCCGCGGCGCGAATCCAGGGAGTCGCACGTGTGGGCGTGACCATGCGTGGATTGGCGCAATGGCACACGGGGGCAGGGGTGGGGAGGTAGAGGTGAGCTAGTACTGCTTTGTCCGGTCGCGCGAGACAAGTGAGCATTGCGCTACTGCTTTTTTGTTTATGGTCGTCAAATTTCTACCCGCCACCGCCGCCCAACGACCGCCACAGCGCCACTGTTCTTTCCAGCCCATAGGTGGAAAAAGATTAAGGTGCTAACATGTGAGTCCCATGTTGACTCAACTGCCACATAAGCCCGGGAGCAATACTGTCTTGGGACCTAATATGACCCAAGTTTTGCAGTATTAGGAATGCTTTATTTATGGTATTCCGTTTTAGGGATAATTTTGAAAGTCGAGGTACCTCAAGTGAACTTTTTCCTCGCTCCCACGCTGCCGCCTGTCTGCAGCTAGTTTCTCTAGTTGGGCTGAACACGTATATTGTCTGCCCGCGATCGCATCGCGGGCCGGGCCGAAACCTACTCGTGTGGAGGTTTATTTTAATCTTAACTAATTAAAAGATTAGTAATTTTTCTATCGTCACAACAATTTTATCGTCCGTAAATCCGACCGAGAGCGATGCCTTATGTCTCTGCGCGCGCGTAATCACAGCCAAAAGAAAAATCAAAATGCCGTCATCTACAGCGTGCAGCTTCTCACCGCTTGAGTCCGATTAAGATTTCCGTTCATTGTCCGCACCTCCTCTCCGCGTCCATCGTATCGTTGGACGAGGGCTATGCCAAACTGGATCGAGCTTCCCTCGCGCTACACCTCATCCGACATCAAAAATCCCAAAAAAAACCGCATGCATACAAACAAATCCTAAAATTATCTCCAAAACATCCAACCTCTGAACAAATCATGACTTCACCAAGCAAAAACACAAGCAAACACATCACAGATTGAGGAGAGAAACAAATGCCAAAGAGATTGATCGAGCCCCTGACTCCTCCTTCCTCCGCATCACTGGCCGACGACCGGATCCATGGGCTGCCGCCGTCTTGCCACCAAGAGCAACATGGCACCTACATCCACCATGTCGATGGTTGGATCTACAGGCCGCAGCCGCCGCCGTCCCCAAAGTCCTCACCGACGACGACTGCTACCTCTTCATGCCATCTCTCATCTGCTCGGCTACGTCGTCGGCCATGGAATCTCCACGGCCTCTACGTTGACTTGGACCAGAATTCTCCGCGTCGTGCCCTCCGTTGGCACCACCGCCTGCCGTCCGCTGAGGCGCTGACCCGACGCCCCCTTGAGGCCTTACCGGCGTAGCCTCCCCTTCCGTTCATCATGTCTGTCTCTCCCTCCCTATATGAGGAACGGATATACTCCTACTCCTATATGACTATTGACTGGGTAGATAAGAACGATGCAAGAGTTCGTGAATTCATAGACATGGTCTATGGACCATTGACGCATGGGAGGAGTGAGGAGACGTGCACGTGCTGCACTGTTATTGTTTGCTACTACTATTCCAACTGTTTACTAGCCACAGCTTATGTACTGTTTTATTTTTTTCTATTAGAGATTGCTACTTTATTTCTTTCCCATCAGAGAATATTGGGTTTCCAATGTCTAATATCTTGCTACCTCCGTCCTAATATAACGTCCTAATATAAGTATAGTTGTAGGTTTTCGTGTTCATAAGTTTCCTTTCGTCATAGTCCATTTTGTCCATCCGCATGATTTTTCGTCCGTACAAGTGCATCCTAAGGCAAATCTTAACTAATTAAACGGTTAGTAACTTTCTGATTGTCACCCAAATATTAAGGAAAAATCACCCAAATATTAAGGAAAAAGAAAGGGGTCTCGGAGCCCCGAAGAAAAGCTCCAAAAATTGAAAAAAAAAAGGAACGAAATACCTCACCGCTGATCGTCGCCGACACCGCGCGGAAAGTTCTCCGCCACCGCCCATCGTCGCCGACTCGCGCGGGTAGCCAACCGCCGCCGCCTGTCGTTGCCGACAAGCGCAGGTAGTCAACCGCTGCCGCCGGTCGTTGCCGACGCGCCGGGGAAGTCCACCGCTGAAAGCCGTCGCCGACGCCATGCGGAAGACAATGGGGAGACGGCGGGGAGGATCGTCGGGGCAAGGCCGCTTGACGGTGGTGCACTCACCCTCAGGCGAGTGCGCGCACCGACGAGGGGGCATGCGCCGGCGCCGCCGCTTTTCGCCGTCCGCTCCAGCTCCGGCGAGAGGGAGAGGAGGAGAAAACTAGGGTTTTCGCTGACGGCCGGGAGGGATGGGGTTTTGTCCCTCCGACGTCGGCACCCTAAGATCGGACGACCAGCACTGGCTGGACCGAAACCGATCCAAGTGGAGGCGCTCGCGGGGCGGTTTCCCTGGCCCAGGCCCAGGTTGCGGCCCGGGGAGGGGGGAGGGCCCGCACGTGCGCATAAGAGGCCGTGGGCCGATCGGCCAGGCCGGGAAAAGGTATGTTCTAGGTCCCTCGGCCGAAGAAAAGAAATTTAAGGCCCTGATTAGTTCCCACGCAAAAACATTTCACCCTATCACATCGAATGTTTGGACAGATGTATATAGTATTAAACATAAAAAAACTAATTACATTGATTGCGTGTAAATTGCGAGACGGATCTTTTAAGCCTAATTGCGCCATGATTTGACAATGTGGTGCTACAGTAAACATTTGCTAATGATGGATTACTTAGGCTTAATAAATTCATCTCGTAGTTTACAGGCGGAATCTGTAATTAGTTTTGTTATTAGACTACGTTTAATATTTTAAATATGTGCCTATATATCCGATGTGACACGCCAAAACTTTTCACCCCTAGGCCTAATTCTATATCTTAATCTTAACTAATTAAAAGATTCGTGACTTTCCATTCATCACTAGAAAGACGAAGACCAGAATTAAAAATAAGAAATATTGAAATAATAATAGTGCGGAGTCATGGTCACCACTATCACGGAAGGGAAGCAGACGGCCAAACGCGGCTGCTACCTACCGTGCTACGGTCGTCGATCGTGCTGCTGAGCCACCCCATAGATCTAGCCAACCCATATCTTCAGAGTCCATGTTGACTCGCACCGTGTAAAGGTGGAAATCAAACCAGTTTTATCTTTTTTTTATCTCCCTTTCTTCAGATTATTCTTGAATAATAATTTGTTATGAGCTATTATATTTCTCTATATCATTTGATACTTTTTCTAGCAACCAAAAGTACCAAATCAATGTAACACCTCACATGGCATTTGACAGAAAAACACCTCAAAAATCATGCGAATTCTAGACCATTGGATCGCTTTAAGATTCGTGCTGGCAATTCTAACCCTAACCCCTCTCCCTCCCCCTCGTCATTCCAGGCCGCCGCCGCCTTCTCTTGCGCGTGCGCTGCCTCCGCCGCCGCCCCACGCGCCGCCGCCCGGACTCGCCGGCTGGCCGGAGTTGGAGAAGGTGTCGCCGGAGCTGGAGGAGAAGAGCTAAGGTCGCCGGAGCACGAATCGCGAAGCAAATCCCAAGGTCAGTAATCTGCATGATTTTGGCCTAAAAAATCATTCGACTGATAAATAGCCATTCGATATATCATCGCTAGCTTTTCTTTCGTAACAGAAAAGCCAACCTACTTCCAAAAAAGAGAGAAAAAAAAATCCAGCGATTAGGCGGAGGAGGAAGCGAGCAGAGGTTGCGAGTGGAAGGGAACTGAGGAAGCGGAGCGCAATGGCGGCGGCGGCGAGAGACGCTCTCCTGGACGAGCTGCGCGCGCTCATGGCGGCGCACTCCCCGCCGCTCCACGCGCTCGTCGTCCCCTCCGAAGACGCCCACCAGGTCAGTTCCGCCGCCGCCCCCTCCTCCGCGGCGGACTAGATCGGTGGGGGTGCTGGATTCTGCGATCCCTCCTCCTGTTTGGTTTGTTGGTCGTGGTGATGTTGTTGATTGAGGATTTGGTGTGGTCTGTGCTGTGCTGTGCTGTGCAGAGCGAG